ATTGACAAGCTGGTTATAAAGTTTATACAGAAACACAAAGGACCAACAGGACACAAGACAGTTTAAAAGAAGATTAAGAAGTACAGAACCTAAGTTTCTCAGATTTCAGAAAGTTAGGTTTCTATTTTCCCAATTCACTTTCCAAAAGACTTACAGATTTGAAACAGTTAACTCTGGAAATTCAGTCCTCACTGCAAAGAATGGTGATCAGGAGGTCTCCGGGGAAACTGGGCGACGTCCTTATCCTCAGTGATTTCTACAAGAGTGCTTGTGAGATTGCAAAAGCCTCAGAAGCTGTTCATGTCCCTTTCTTGAGTGTGCCAAGGCCATTTGAGGACTTTCAGCTGCACCATTAGTTGCCGAATTGTAGAATCCCCTGTCTTTCCCACTAATGGTTGGTCTTCAGCATTTGTTCTGGCAAGTGCTTTCCCATTGCTTACTGGTTTCAGGCACATGTGGCTGAGGGTGTGATGCTGTTGCTTCTTAATTTTTGCTGCTTGTTCTGTCAAACTACATGGAGATTACTGTAAGTTGCTTTCTGACTCTCCACCATTGCTTTTGGTATATCGTATTCAAAATCTGTTGTGAAGTCTAAAAATATCTGGTCAGTAGCTATAGTCTTAGGGAAGCTTATGACAACCATTAAACTGCCATACAACTGGGATGGTTCCAAAAGGGAATTTTGAGTTCAAGTCTAATAATAAAATGAGACACTTTTCTTTCTTTTTTGAAATTTCCTTTCTTTTAGAATTGTAGTTTTACTTAAATTTATTTATTCAAAGCAAATTAGTGATGTTCTGATGTCTTGCTAGGGAGGAAACTCAACTCCCTATAGAATATATACTCCAGAAACATCAACAATGGCATATGAAATCACGCACAAGCTAGGGACGTTTAGTAATCCGAGTGAGATGCCACGCTCTCAAAAACTAGTCATCCCACTGTCACTTATGATTTCATACTTCAGCATAAACTAAACCAAAATGATTTGTGTTTCTATGTTTAGGATGCAATTCAGTTCTTTGAGATCATATTAAAACTTTTAAATAATAAACATTCAGACCCAAGTCAGTAGTACTGCTGTTATATGGTTGCTGCCGCTGTGTGGTTAATGCTAAGGAAAGATACTGCGTAAAAGAATATGCACAGAAGATAATTCTATGACAACAGTGATATAATGCCACGAAACAATATTGCCCAATCTCTTATTTTTTATCATTTGATATATCTCAGGTTACAACATGATGTAAACTCCCTGGGATTTACACCAGATGATGGTTTATAAGGAACCGGTTTGCAAAGGATACTTTCCCAGTATCCTTGCAAGAGAGACCAAAGGGCATTTGGGGAAAGCGAATTCTTTGATGAGAGTTAGAAGGGCTGTGGCAGTTTCAAAGAAAGTGAAATATCTTCCCTTTTCTTTGCCTGGGATGGAGTAGGTGGGAGGTGGGAAAGAAAGGTTGAAGGCTGTCAGGGAAAAGGACTGTGCACCTTATAATGAAAGTACATTTTAAAAAGTTTACCCCCTTTGCTGCACTAAATTCAGTCACCTAGGAGCTACACAAAAGGGTCTTTTAACCACTTATGATCCTAAGAGCTGACAATATGCACCCAGAGAGAACATGAACCAGCCTTAGGGATCCGGCAGAACACAGGAATATGGACTCCTTGAGCAAAACACATCAGCATCCAGGCTCTAGATCAGCAACTAGGGCGGCCACAGTCTGATATTTGCTCCCACACACATGAAGTGTCTGGTGCATGGAAGAAAAAGTTGACCCAGAAATTTACTGTTTATGTCCGCTCTTTTGTTCCTACTTGTACTACCAGACCAAAATGACCCAGGAAATGTAGATTGCATTAAAATTGAAACACTCTCTGGAGAAAACGTAAGTTTCAATTTTGCCTTGACCCATATTCCTTTGTAATTTTCCGTCTTCTGAGGTAATACTTCCGGAACCTGAAACATCCCTCTGCTTCTCTGCTTCCTGCTCACTCAATCAATCAATCAAGGCACAGTTGTCATAAAACTTAATTCTAAGTCACATACTTTGTCACAATATTCAGTCTTCATTCATACTTTGATCTGCTACCCTTGTTCATAGTCTTCTCAACATCACTCTGTCAAGACGCCCTTGGAGTTATCCCCTACTCCTTTGGTACCACTTTTTGTGTTCCATGCTTTATGCATCTCCTCTGCCATCTTTCTGGGATTTCCTCTACTCTCATGTACTTACTGCCACTCACTCAGATGCTTTCCGTTCCTGGTCTGCTAAAGTATCTCAAGCTTGTCACCACTTCCTTCCAGTCTGTCTTCTGGCAATCCCCAGAATTACATTGACAGAATGCAAATAAGACTTTGTCATTTCTTTAACCTAAAACTTTCTATGTTTCTATAAGAAATACAACTAGAGTTCTTAAACTCAAGGTGCAATATAAAGACAGGCATGGATAGCCTCATGGAACTCTGGCCATCCTCTAAAATTATACTAAGCAGATAGTCATATGAGCATGAAGTATATTTTCATAGAAAGAGTGTCAATAAATTTCAACACATACTCAGAAGTTTGTCCTGTGACTTGTTCCCTTTCTTACCTCCCCCAAAATCCTCCAAAAGTTGACAGTGTTACACACAAGGCCTTTCACCATTCAGCTGACTGTAACGGTTAGTGTAATGTGAGTTGGACAAGCATGAGCTCCTAAGGGTGCAAAAACACTGAAGAATCAGGCAGTTCTGGGTGTCCTGCTGGTCTGACTTGCTGGTCTTGGAAATGTAGGTTTATTTGGGTTATATGGTAAATAGGTATTTCTATTCTCATAAGACTATTTGAGATGTTAAATTTACCAACAATATACATTGAGTGGAAAAATAATAAGAACTCAACAAACCACATTTTCTCCATTATTAAGTCCTTGGACTTCAAAAGATACTATTTGAAAATCTACTGTCACCTTTCCTACTGATAAATCTTTCTTCTAGCATTTTATTATTTTGTTGCAAAAGGCTTACATCAAATTGTCTGAATCATTCAGCGAATGCATTATCTCATCAACCTCAAAAAGTTCAAAAGTAGAGGGGGCTTCAGGTTCAATTTGTCCTGGACTCTGCTTATCATTTTCTATTGTGCTCTCAGTTCTTTCATTCTCTATGTAGCATCTTCTCCCTCAGACTGCTTTTCTTTACGGCAGCAAAGTCATGGCGGACTTTACAATTGTACCTCACACTATCTAGAATGGACAAAGAATATTTGTATCCCAGAATTTCTAAACAAAGTCTGAGATCCTTTCTGAACAGCTCTAGTCAGCTTTCCCCCAAAACCGATCTCTATATTGAGGTTACACCTTCGGTCTCAGTTGTGTCCTAAACTAGTTGCACCCGAGTAGAAACTCAGAGGTATAGCAAAGCATAAATATTTAACTGGAATGACACGAATAGCATGAACATGAACTATACCAGCCCCGTGAGAACAGACACCTGTGATAAACAACCAGTGTTCCCCAACTAGTGCTAGAAGCTGAGTCTCAGCCCTGCCTGGGGGAAGACTGAAAATGACAAGTCTGCTGAGAAGGCAGCCCCCAGGGATCTATTCAGGAACTCTTCAGGGATGCGCTAACCCTTTTCATTGTTCAGAGCACCCTCTATAGCAGGGAAACGTGGGTTTGGCTTGTGGTTCCTGCTACCGAGATTCATCTCTAAAATAAAGGATGCAAAAAAGAGCAGCTAATAAATTTTCTCTTCTCTGTACAGGAAAAGTTCATTGGAGATAAGTAATATATTGTATATTCTGACTCTTATACCGGTTGCTTAAAAGATTCCATTTGAAAACTTTCAGTTGACAACTTACCCTGCTCAAGCACAGAAACACTTAGAAATGCATTTCTTGGTCTTAAATAATTTCAAGCCATTTTGAAAAGTTTAGCATATTTTCTGTAAAATGATATTTCTGAATCAATTTGTATTCCATGGTAGGAGGAGCAATTAGCAAACACTGTTGATCTTGAGTTTCATCTCACATGAAATTATTCACAAATTGCTTCTCAAGTCCACCCCAGGATTCCAAACTATAACGCAAAACAAAGCCTTGCATTGTGCCTTCTGAGAAGTCATTGGGTGACTGTTTCTCCATTGTCTCCAAGTTCCGTTTTCTTCAACTGCAGATCTGGACACTCTCCAGACACTAGTAAAAGGGTGGGGGAGTTGTAACCCAGTCTTGGTACATGAAACTCACCACAAATTCCTCAAGGATACATCAGAGTAATAATGTGAGTGCGCTGGAATGTGTGAGGAGAGTGAGCGCAGTTCTGTAGCCTTGTAGGGTTTTATTTTTCTTTTGAAAAAATCAAATTAAAAGGAGAACATACATATCTAGGCTAGCTGGCTTGGGAACTTTGGGGTAATGTAAAATATAAAGGGGCTTATTAACTTCTTCTAGAGGCATACTGTACAGTTGCTGAGATGGCGTTAGATTAGAAAAATATTTTTAGATTGTCTCATTAAATATATTAAGAGCCCAAAATGTCCTGTTTCATCCACTCATTCATTAGTTTGTTTCTTCATTCATTCATTCTGTTCTAGAAACACCTATTGAGTACCTGAGGTGTCAGGCAGCGTTCTAACTCCTAATAATGCCAACTATAGCCAAATCCACTGAGTTATCGTTCCCTTTGAGGTTGCATCCCAGTGCAAGATAAATTTTTAAATTTAAAACTAAGAAAGACCTCAAACATAGAGCATATTAGGTGGTTATAAGAGATATAAAAATGTTAGCAGAGAGAGTGACAGGTATAGGAGATCAGGAAAGACATGAATTTGGGTATAATTCTTGATGTGATGGGAGGAGACCTATGCTCTCTGGGCTAGCATTTTCCAAGTCACACTTAGAGAGGGCATGATCAGTCCTTATAGATAAGGTTCCTACAACCCTGTGACATGAGTAGAATGGGTGAATTAATCTCTGCAGTCATGAGTTCTAACTCCCAGTTCTTTGTCATAGAAAGAACAAGTTCTCGACAAGTACTTTTCAAGCTTTTCAAACATGTTCACAATTGAAAAACTTTTGTAAACAAAATTTTGTCTGGAGCCTATTTGTGAAGTTCATACACATGGAAACTCTCCAGAAAAAGTAGGCAGAAAGACGTTTTGCAAGCTTGGTCCATGCTCATCCCCAGATCTGGCCCACTCCAGATCCTCGTCCTGAGGAACCTCTGCAGATCTTAGTTTCCTTGTATCCTTTCCAAATGCTCTTTACCTATCTCTCTGTGACTTCTGGGGGGGAAAAAAACAGGAAAAACAAAATGCATAGAAAGAAAAACAAGTAAGCAGCAAGATTATTGCAAGATTATTAGTTTCTATCAAGATTATTTGCTCTGGAACAAATTATCCCAGACCTCAGTGAAGAAAAGCAATGCATATATATTTTCTCACAGTTTCTGTGGATCAGGAGTCAGGGTACATTGGCATGGGTGCGGCACAAGGCCCCTTAGGACACTTCAGTCAAGGTGTCACCAACTTCATCTGGAGCGGCCACCCTCTTGCAGCTCTAGGGGAATGTTGATTTAAATTCTGTTTTTTTGTGGGTTGTGAAGCTAAGAACCAGTTGCTTGCTAGCTTCTGGCTAGGGATTAATTCAGGTCCTCCTGACACAGGTCTCTTCATAGAACCACTTCACAACCTGATAGCTGGCTTCTCTGAGTAAAAAAGCAGAGAGAGAGAGAGAGAGAGAGAGAGAGGGAGAGGGAGAGAGAGAGTGTCTTTGTATAACCTAATCACTGAAGCAATGTATCATTTTGCTTACTCTGTAGGAAAGGAATCAGTGGGTGTGGCCCATGCTCAAGAAGAGGGGAGTACACACCAGCATGAGTACTAGGAGGTAGGGATCCATGGGGTAAATTTAGATGCTTCCTGTTACAGAGAGGAAAACAGAAAAGTAGAAGTTACATAAATTCATTTAACCATTAAGATACTTGATCTAGGGGTCAGGCGTGGTGGCGCACTCCTGTAATCCCAGCACTCGGGAGGCTGAGGCACCAGGATCACTGCAAGTTCGAGACCAGCCTGGGGTACATAGTGAATTTCAGGTCAGTCTCAACTACATAGTGAGTCAAAAAAACAAACAAACAAAAAGGATACTTGATCTATGTAATATACTTATAGTCTTCCTAGTACATTGTTCTTCTTTTCTTTACAAACAATTGAAGATACACACAGTGGTGTTTGCTTCCCTGTATTACTTTTAAAACAGAATGTTTTGTAGCCTGTCTTTTTATTTTAAATTTAAGACTAAGCAATTATTTTTTAAAAGACTTCCAGTTAGAATTTTCTTGTTTACATGACTAATTTCAATTTTATGTTAATATGAATGGAAACACCAATTACCAATATTAGGAAAATAAATCACGACTTTTCTGGAAATACATGTAAGACCTCAATCAATTGTCCTAAAAATTACTGACAAGCTAGTCTGTTGACCGAAAAGAAATCTTCCCTGGCCCTTTCCTATGTATAACAACCTTTATCAGTTACTCTTTCTGGGAGGTAATGAAGGTGAGTAAATTGAAGGAATTTCTTCACTTGTTCATATTCTTCCCTAAGCTGCAAGCCCCTGTGGACCACCCTTGCTTATGTATGAAGGTCTGGTGTACCCCAGGGTTCCAAAAATATATGTGGAATGCGTGGTGCAACAGCGCCTTCAAAGACAACGAGAAATCTCTACCAAAATTTCCACATTTTCACAGCTTCTCAAAAGTGTATCAGAATCTCTATGTGATGAAATTGAAAGTTTATGTAGTAGATTATTTTTCTGAAGAATTCTGGATTTCAGATACCAGCTCCATCAGTTGAATCAAAATTACAGGTAAGAACTCACTTAATACAACCTGAAACTTGGCTGGAGATACCTGGGGGGGGTGGGATTTAAGGAAATAAATGAGGTACTAGAGCACCTGTGTCAGTCCAATCGCTATACAATTTTCCGCTGTCTCACTCTTCAGGGTCTCTGCAGATGGCCAAAAGATTGTGCCTGGCAGCCTCCAAGTCTTGGATCTATGTATTATCCCACAATGCCATCAGCTTCTCTCAGTCTCTTTCTAGCTATCTCTTTCTTTATTTTAAGTTGAAAGGCTATGAAAGGAATTATTGAGCTAGCAAGGATAACCATCAGTAGCTCAGCTTGGCTTTGCTGTCCAATCTCCACCACCTTCCAACTCTACCATGATGGTCAACAGCCCCAGGGCTTATCTTGGGCATTCTATCAGCTATAATAGCTCACTATCTTTGTGAACATTTTGGAAACAATCAGTTGCAGCACATTGTAATGACACCAATTCTGTAAAGCTCTCTATGACCAACCGTGATTTGCATCTTTCTGTCCTGGATGCCTCTGCACAATACTCACCAAACTACCTTGTCCTCATGGTTTACTAGACTCTGAGACCCAAGAACCCCAGCATTTTATACATGCTGGGTGCCCACGATGGGACTCAGTGCAAAACTTTCCAAGCCATGACCGTAGAAGACCAGAATATGCTATTCCAAAATATGCCTCTGTGGCCTAAGCATTATTTTGAGTTGGTTATCTAAGAAACTACATATATACAAAAGAAGCTTTGGAAAGTCACCCTTTTGTAAGAGAAATTTATATCTCTAAAAGAACTCTTGATTTGTGTGTGTGTTTTCTTCTCTATATCAGGGAGAACAGGGTGATTCACCCAACAGAGACTCTTAATCAGTGGAGAAGGCATGAACTTAAATCTGCTTAACAAGTCTCACTCTTGTTTAAAGTGCTTTTCTCAATCATCTCATCTCAACTAGGCCTTTCCTTTGCACCCTTCTTTACTTTTAGAGAATGATAATATTTAAGCCTGAAGTCTAAGCCAATTCTTACAGGTCCACTCTAGGTAGACGCTTTTTTTTTTCTGGATTATATCCCATCTATATGGGTGACATTTTAAATGTTATTAAATTTCTGTTTGTTTTCTCTTACCAATCTGTCTTTCATCACAGGGAGTCCCAGCTAAGAACTCATGCAGGTTGGAGAACAAAATTATTCTCCCCTCTCTACTACTTAACACTTTATGAAAACAACAAATGGAAGATACGGAGATTTAATTGATTGTTGTTCTTTTTCCTTGTAAATCTGCTTAATAAACTATGCAGGGTAGGAAATAATTGAATAAGAATTTCTAGATAGTTCTTTCTTTATCAAAATATTTGGAAGCAGCTTCTAATTTCCCCAGCAGCAGCAATAACAGCAGAAGGCAGATCCCAAAGGAATGCCAAGGGTTAGAATCTGTCATTTTGAATCTGTGAACTTCAGAAATCTGCCCTTTGATCAGCCATTAACTAGGCAAACACTGAATGTGAGCTGATCCCAGAAGGACAGTATGCCTATGACTGTTTATTATTTTATAGGGATTGTATTTACAGGCAGAAGATGTAGACACAGAGGATGCTCTTCCTTTGCAGTTGTGTAATTTTTGTCATCTGTTTCTTCACCTATTTAGTAGAAAATGAAAAAGAAGAAAAAGAAGCAGAAGAGGAGAAAATCTAATTAACTCTAAATAATCCATAAGGAGGAGGAGGTGTAAAGGGGGAGGAGAAGGAAGAGAAGGGAGGAGGAGGTGAGGGAGAAGAAATAACACCAACAAACAAAATAAAATCTTATTTGCTTTTCCTTTATGATTCAGTGCTGTGAGGACCAAGGTGATGAAGATTCTGCAGCCCCTTTTTAAACCGTAAAGTACTGTGACCATTTTCTCTGCCAAGATCATCTTTGGAGAGCAAACACAGGAAGCAAGGATTGACTGACCAGAATTAATCTGTGATCTTGACCCTCTTTAAGAGTGGGAGTTTCCAAAACTGCAATGTGATTATGAGTCAAAAAAGTGCTTAAGTTTAAATGCTTCTTTTCACATGTGAGTGTTTCTTTATCTTTATTTACTATCTTAAGAGGTTAGTGGAGAACAAATTCTGCACTTTTTATCTCTAGAGCTATTAATAAGTGTTAGCTTCCTAGTATACCTTAAAATCATATGAAAATTAAAAGCTTTTCACTCAATGATTTAAAGTAAATCATCCAAGATGAGTGCTATACGGAAAAAAACACATCGTAGAGTTCTACATTAGCACATATGTCTGCTTTGGTGATGCTTCATGCTGAATTTCCACAATGTATCTGCACGGCTTGACAAAAACTCATTTCACTGAATATTCTTTCTTCCTGGGCTAATGTACTTCATCCTCAAGGAGTCAGACATACTCTGGAAAGGACCAAGAAGCAGTATTCTTTTGTCTTTTTTCTTCTGCTTTTCCACAGATTCGCCATTACCATTTGTTCTCCATAAAGGCAAAGTAGATGAGGCGTGCCCAAGAGAAGAGGGCCGTGAGCTCAGAAGAACTTGTTTATTCTTTGAAAAGTATACCTTGAACATGTTGACACAGTTTAAACACCAACTCCTCACTGTAATAGAGGAAATAAAACTTATGGGATTTTTCCGTGAGTACTCCATTCTTACGAAGAAAATCTAATTAACTCTAAATAATCCATAAGATGTTGTTGGTACCAGAAAAACATACCTAAAGTAACACGTCAAGCACACGGAATTTAAGAAAATTAGAAGGAGTAAGAAATGGCTTTAGGATTAAATTCTTTTCTACCTTCCTTTGTCTCTCTCCTACCCTACAGCTTCAGCACAAAGAAAAGGCTCTCTCTGAAGTCCCATTCTCCGACTGAAAGCTTTTCTCCAAAAATAAATAAATGAATAAATAGGCAATTTCTCCCTAAAATCTTATTAACTAGATGAATTTAGTGAGCAGAAAGAAGTAGAAGATATCTATCTATTTACATTAAATGCAGCATCTATTCTTCTAAGGGTTCCCGCCTGATAGACTTTATCTGCAAGAAAGACGACCTTTCCTCATAGTGCAGTTCTAACCCTCATTTTCCCTTTACACGTCACCAGTTGTTCTGGAGCGGGGGGGATCTTCATCCTAAACCAGTCTGTTTTGGGGGCCCATCGTCTTCATTAAAAGTCATTTACTAGCCCTCTAAAATTGCCTACAAACTTCACACCTCCATTTTCCACTCTTCTATAAAGTGGGTATTTAACCTTCAACCACCTGGCAGTTCTTCGAGTTTCATATTTTGGATGACTCCCATGTGCATGTGCCTATTTTTAACATATGTGCACTTTCTCGCCTCTTTATCTGTTGTCAGTTCATTTCAGTGAACCTTCAGATAAGGGAGAGGAAATTTTCCCTTTCCCTATCATACCAGTAACCCTTGACCAGACTCCCCATCTTCCACATCAATCATTATATGTTTTTATGGCACTGCATCTCTCTCCTTTGTAACATTTAGCATAATCATGATTTTTGTACTTGTTTATGTGATGGCTTTATTGGAAGAGCACATGCTGTAAAGCCAAATGAAATGGGTTATAATTTTGACTTTATCACTTACTTTGTGGCTGACAAAGCAACATAATGTCCCTGCCTTGCAGTTTTCTCATCTGCAAGATGGGAATGAAAAAAGGGCTACTTCATAGAGTTGTGAGATTAAACATGTAGAGGAAATGACCTGTAGAAGCAATGAAACAGTGTTTCCCACTACTTAATATATGCTGGTTTTTCGTTTGTTTGCTTTTGTTTTAACTCTGACAGCTTTAAATTTTGTAAAGGCAGGCATATCATTGTGTAATATCCATCATAGTTAAATAAGTTACCAAATATCACTTAGTAAGCATTTATTCAATAGATGAACAAATAACTTAACCTTTAAAATTTCATTCTTATGTTTATTCATTCCATTTTGGTTGTAAGTTCAGGAAATAAAGTAGAAGCATCAATAGGAAAGGATGAGGTAAAGTCTGATTTTGAAACACTTGTTTTGAAATACTTGATTGTTGAAACACTCCAATTACCTCGTAGATTAGTGCAAGCTAAAGTGAATAAAACATTAAACACTGCTAAGACTAAGAGTACTGTTTTAAAGTACGAGTAGTTGTTCATATTTTTTTAAATTTTATGTTGTCAGTAAATGCTTTGTTTTGACAATAATGAAAGCCATTAGAATACATTTTCAATATCAGTGTGATATTCCTGTGGTCTAGTGCTAAAAATTTTATGAGGTATTAAAGGTTATAACAGCACCAGTTTCAGATCGGTGTTGCCCAAAACATGCTTTGATGACTTCTCTACAAAGAACTTTCCAGGATAATAAATAAAATGACCACATTTGCTATCATTATATATGAAGTTATGAGGTGATTTTTTTAAAACAGTGCTTTGTTGTAGCGCGATCTTTACAAGAAATAATACTCCTATGAGAGCTGTGAGAAAATAAGTCTGCTAAGGCCATTAGACACAATTCATAATGATTTTTTAAATGAGCTATCAAAGAATCTGCAAAAGGATTGTCTTTTTAAAAGTTCTCCTGAACATATCTCCTTTATTATACCATTTATGTGAAAAATTCTAACAGTATAACCACTATTATGTTATGGAGAATAAGAATATTAGGCATTGGGGAGATCTGGCTTTCCAATGGAGTAATATTGTGGTCTTTATGAAGGATATTTTAAGATTACTACCACCTTAAATATCTTTAACAGTCCTTTAAAAAAATAAAATTTTCATTAAATTTAATTAAAGGAAAATTTAAAACACAAATACTCTTATTGATGGTCAAGTAAAATAAAACCTAGATGATTTATGTGGCCACTTTCTGAGTTGATTTTGATAAAGAGATGAAAGAAGGGGAAACATTTCAGTTCCACAAATAGATTAAATATTAGGAGAGGGTTGTTGACCTCAAAGAAAAATGGCAATAATGTAATTTTAGCCAACACTATTTCTGATTAAACCTGGAGACAAATTTGCATTTTATATAATGTAGATTCAACAGTATTATGTTTCAGATAATGTACATTAAAACTAATAGAGTGAAAACATAGGAAACATGGGATAAGAGATACTTCTTTGTTTTCAAAGAAAACTAATGGCTTTGCATGGTGGGTTACCTAGTTGTCAACTTGGAACACCCAGATGAACTAAGTCAGCATAATTCTGGGCGTGGATGACCCACCTGAGGATTGTTGTCAATGGCATAAAAATAGAACTGGAGGGACATATTAAATACTGTTGATTTTCTCGGAGGAGCTTTCCTCCGCTGGTTTTCCTGCTGAAAACTTGGCTATTCTCAGCAGAGGAGGAGGTCCGGTCTTTGCTCTTGCTGGGAAAGGATGCTGTTCTTGCCAGGGGAGCTCTGATCTTTGCCTTGCACATAACTTTCCTGGCTCGAGTATAGATCCCTCAGCCTGGTGGCACAAATCCTTCATCCTACCGGTGCAGGCTTTCTAGCTTCCACCTCTGGTCTCTGGGTCTTCCCAGTGCAGGTCTTTAATACAGACCTGCATAGGATATTGCCTTGGGCTGTAGGCCTTTAGCTGGACTTGTGCAGGACATTTCCCTGGGATCTAAGCCCTCAGCTGGATTCTTTGGGACTCTACTGTGTGAACAGATCTCTTGCACTCCTCTGCATTTGACTTTTTGGGTAAATATTTTTAAATAATCCTTGTGTTCTGTAACAAATCTATTCCCTTGCAAACCCTGACTACAACACTTTGCCTTCAGGTTTAACCTCTGCTGATACTTCTCTAGTTTGCAGTGTACAGTCTAAATATAGCAATAATCTCTTGTTGAACTTACTGAACTATCCAGCAGATTAAGAGAACACCAAAGTGTAAGCAATTTGCTAAAGTGACATTCTTAAAGGTCATCTCTTATTTCCTGATTGACAGGTTAATGCATCTTTTCTCAATTTCTGTCCTCCTTGGCCTTTGTATAAGAGTTGTTACTCTTGACTACTCCCTCATCAAAGACATGTCCTGCAGTTTCTGTATTCCTGTGCATTCTCCTATTCCTTTTCCTTGAATGACTTTCTAGGCTGTCCCTGGTGACATGTGTTGCTTTACTGTCAGTCTTCCATTCTGTTCTCTCCAGTTTTTTTGAGCTTACTGTGCTTCTAACCTTTTCCATAAATTCATTTTGATTAGATGATATATTTTAAAGGCTTTTTTTTTCTCCTGAACTCCTGTACCACATTTTCACAATGGGATAAACATTTCTCACTGAAAACCACATTAATGATTCACATTTGTATTATTCCATTTTTCATGACTATAGCAAATCAGTTTAGACTGTGTAAATTTACACAAAAAGAGGCTTATTTAGCTCATAACCCTGGAGGTTCAAGACAGTGGCTTGGCCTTAGTGAAAATCTCCTGATGGAAGGCAACATAACGGTGAGAACATGTGTGAGAATGATAGTTCATATGGCCAGATAGGAAGACAGAGAAGGGAGGAATTGTTTTGTAACAACTCGTTCTTGCTAGAAGTAACTCAGGATCTCACAAGATCTAAATTAATTTATTTCTCTAATGACCTCAGACTTCTTCTGAAAGATCAAACTCCACCTCTCCACATCATTACACTAGGACACTTAATGAATTTTTGAGAAATGCACTCGAATCTTATCTAAGTCATAGTATTATTGAATAATGAATTTCATTAACCTCCAAAAACTCACTGCTCCATTTGGCTTCCCTTGTCTTTTAAGAGTTTCTGTCAGCAGTTCTTTTTATGAGTAGTTTACTGAACTGCACTAGGAGGAACGAGAAGCTAATCTGGTGGTTGGCTGAGTCAATTCAAGAACAACAACAAAAAAAGACGTCTGACAAAAGAAAATTTTATACATCGGTCATACCAAAAATTCTGGAAGATGGTCCAAGATTTATAGTTTTGGTGTTTTGTTTTGTTTTTAGTCTGAGAAGGTTATCGGTCCAGGAGAGTTGGAGTAAGTCAAGAATTTTGTCATAGAATAAATGAAAAATGATCACAGTTAAGTCAAAGTCAGTAATTTAGCCTTACTAAACACTATTATTCTCGTGTGTTAAAAAATGGAACCTCACCTAACAGTATTTTTAACATTAAAAGTAATATATTTTCACGTTAGAGAAGCTGGGAAGTTACTGCTCCATTCTAACACAAATAAAAAGCTAAACATACTGAAAAATTAAAACCTTTTGTTTTCTCATATCCATAAGAGGTGATGACATAGAGAAAACCACTAGCTGTATGATTGCAGAGATGAAGAGGTAAATATATAAAATTTTATTTTATCAAGGCAAAGACTCATAAGCAGAAACTGTCACAGGAATCAATACCATGGAAGGATAACCTGAACTGTGACAGAATTGAAAGTGAAGAGTAACTCCAGGGACGTCCAGTCATGAGTTACCTTCATGCTTTTTTAAAAATTTAAATTAAATGTATTGGTACACTCTAGGTATATGGTAGAGTTACATTCATTACTGGGATCTTGTACATTTACGTGACACCTCTTGGTTCTCATTTTTTCCCCTTGTCCCCACCCTCCCATCACCCGCTCCTCCCCTCCCCACCTACAAACACTTTAATT